GGGGGGGGGGGGGGGGGGGATGTTGTGCTCTTCTTCATTTGCTCCTGTTAATGACCACAAAGACAAACATAGAAGGCAAATGAGAGAAAGAGCTCGATGAATGATGATCGAAGATTGTAATACATTTTTTTATAAAGACATCATTAGATTACCACATTTTTAAGCAGAATTTGGCCAGCGCACTAACCTGGTACAAAATGGTCATCTTACTAAATCCGAAAGGTCGACTACGATTGATTTTCACTGCACGAGTGCATCATCTAATGCTGCCTTATCTCCAACACATTCCATATATTTTTTGCATCAACTCTTTATGTGCAGAGATGATCCCATTGCTTCCATTTTTGAACCGAGCAATGTTTCTAGTGTTTTCATGATATGAGACCATTATCAAGTGCAGTCCTATTTCCGTGGGGCGCTAGGAGAGGTAGATTCGATACAAACCTATGTCAGACTCGATCCAGCAGCGTGGCTATCATTCAAAAAGCCGTCCCTAACAATGGGATGCAAGCAACACCACCCGAGGTGGTGATCTAATTGTAATTCATATCCATTTAAGCTAGTTCATGATTTTCATATAGTTATCGAGCAGAATTCAATCTACGGGAGTAACTGTTTCTTGTAAAGCTGATAATGGTACGCCAATTAATCAATGAATGATTGGAAGTCTTAATCCCATGTTACGAACTCAGTTCATCAAAAAGCAAGATTTTTACAGCAATGCATGTTCCTAAAGCTCTTGTTGTACATAAGAAAAAAGAGTAATAGCATGAGACGTTGTTTTGGATGCTTCTTTTTCACCTCTGTTGTCGCTTTTTAACGTTGCGGGATGGTGTGTTGTTGGCTAAAGTATAAACTTTGCCAGAAGAACACACATTATTTTTATGCCTCCACGAGGTTCAAGATGACGCACTATGTCAAATAATCTAATGTTCAGCTGCAAAACAAACAAGGCTCTTGTCGACCTTTCTTCTCATGTTCCAATAAAAAAAAATTCTCGAATGAGAAACGTGATTGGGACAAAAAAATTTGACATAATTTACTGACATAATGATATGACTTGATTGTAATCATCAGATTAACACCGAGTTTCAATGTTTTATGAGTCACATTGTCAATCTAATGACTATAAGAAATTATGTCTATTTTTAGGTCACAATAGCCTTGCTCATTCTCGAATTCCATCATAATTTCAATCCATTTTCTATAGGGTTAATTACAAAATGACCCTGAACTATGGGTTTTGTTTCAATTAACTCACCAAGTTTGAATTTCAACAATTTACCCCTTTCAAGTTAAAAAAACAAAAAATCCAAATGACTTTTACAGCTAGTTGCTTACCGTCAATGTAACGGAAATTAGTGATAATATAGTCTACGCAAATAATTAATAACAAAAGGGGCAAATTACAACTCTTTATAAAAAAAAAATTAATAAAATAGAGTTAATTACAACGATTTACGATTAGCAACAATTGTCTTTTCTTTTTTGTTTTTTTAGTAAGTACAACAATTGTCTTGTCAATAACACAATATACACATAGAATTCAACATTTTTACCGGTAACCAATTTCAAGTCAAATCGCATCAATTTCAATAATTTGAGTAATTTTAGGGAAAAAAAATAATATAAAATAATTATGTATTATTTAAGATGGAGAGTTACCAAAAAAAAAAAGTACGTTTCTCACTAGTCGCAGCCAGCTTGCATTACAAAAAAGGAGCATCTACTATGTAAGAGTTGGCATGCTACATGGGGCAACTTGAAAAAGCCAAAGAATGAGATAGGAACACTTTTCACAAATAATTGATATCAATAGAATCTCAACCAAACTCACAACTAAACATATTATTTGTAGTTTGGGTCCTAAAAAATATTAATCAAGAATTTGAAACAACCACAATTCTTAAACAAACCATCAAAGAAAACACAAAACATCATAAAAGTACTAAAACCTAATTAATAATTTGACAGGCATTCAAATATGTTTGGTATTGCGTGTTTGTCATAGAGAGAGAGAGAGAGAGAGAGTTGTGAGCACTTGCACTTTACACAAGAAATAGGTAAGGCTTGATGGGCCCAATTTTTATTTTTTTTTTATTATTTTGAGTGGGTCTAACCTTTTTGTTTTTATTTTGGGTGGATTCAATCTTTTATTTTTGATTTTAGATGGGCACAGCTGAGACATTACACACAAAAAAACATATCTATATAGGTAATAAATAAATAAAATATTTAGGGTGCCCCGACCCTTTGAACAACTCCGTCCGTATTCGAACCACACCATGCTGTGGAAGAGTCACACGTGATAAAAAGTATTAGATAAATACTTATATTCGCACAATGTCGTTAACAACTAAACTTTTTAGATGAGTTGTTGGAGATTCAATACAAACAAAACAAAACATAATTCCTATCAAATAATTCCAAAATTTGAATTTGGACTACATATGCCAATTAGAGATTTCCCCATCCTCTTCTTGTTAATTACTTACATCGTTTTACATGAAATTCTTATTTTTTTCTTGCATTGCGTCTTTGGATTTTTCGTGACCATTTTTATTGGACAAAGTTAGTATGATGTTTGTATGTATCTAAAAATTTAATATAGTACAGACCGGAGCCGTGTTTGGCAGCCACGTGACACTGGTGATATGTTTAGATATATCAATAAAGGAAATATCGATGTGAAAAACATGACAAGAATTTTCTACAATGACGCTATAGACCAATTGAAGGGATGTAGCGCAACTTGGTAGCGCATTTGTTTTGGATACAAAATATCACGGGTTCAAATCCTGTTATTCCTACTTATTACTTGTCCTTTGAGCGATCTCTATGCCATTATTTGTTTTTTCGTGCTGTAAAAAAGATTAAATGACTAAGAGCATCTCTAACAAAGTTTTGCATTTTAGCTATCTAAAAGTATATTTTTTCTATTTTAACTATTCCTTTTTCAATACACACTCTAACAAATTTTTTATATTTTAACTACTTATTTTAAATATTATTTTCACATATTTCATGCTTTTGTTAGGACTGTTGGAGAGAGAGAAAAAATGGAAGAAAAGACAATGAGTGGATAAGAGAGGTGAGAAATAATAGGAAGAGAGAAAAAATAATAAAGTATTTATACAAGTTGTTGCAATGATGCTCTATATTTATAGTCCGTTTCATAGGAATTATGAAAAAGTGAAATAATGAAAAATTGTAAGAAATAAGTTTTCCATCTTTAAAGGAAAAAAGAGTTTTTCCATCATTTATGTTTGATAAGAAGGATAAAAAGTGGAAGGAATAATTTTAGTGAAAATTAAGGGTGAATCCTCTTAGATGGACTTATAATGAGTTGAATCTTAAAATAAAACTTATTTGGGGGTAAGTTAATGTTTAAATTTATATATAAATACTTAAGTCCACTTATTTTTTAAATCTCAAAATTACCCCTAATGGTATTAGTTTTGTTCAGTTATGAAAAGTCACATATGTTAGATCATTGAGGTATATATAAAAATCCTTGATTGAGTTATATATAGAAACTATTTATTAAATATTATGATAATTAACGGAAGTTTTATATGGAAGTTATTTATTCTGATACTTATATATGAAAAGCTTAATGTACGAATAAATTGTTGGTCTATTAAATCAAAACCATATCAAATTTTTTTTTAACAACAATAATGCATAATATAGGGAGACTGAACAATGTCAACGGAGTTTAGTAACACGAATGTTAATATATAGTAACACGAATGTTACTATATGATTGAAGTTATAATTAGAGTCGTGTTATCAGTATAGTCGTGTTACTATACTAACACTAATGTTACTATAGTGAATTTTAATACACAATTACAAACCCTTGAGACGTATATTATATAGCATACAATTTAATATTTATAGCAACATTAAAACTTTGTATTCAATAACACATATAATTTTACAAAATACAAGACAATAGTTTTTTTTTTTTTTACAATAACATCAACTTTCAAATGATTTTAGTAAAAATAAGATCCACAAATTAAAAATTTACAAAACGACGAGTAGTAACACACAATCAACAATTGAATTACGACACTCAACACCAATTGTGAATATTAAGACATCGAAATTTTGAACTCCATTTTTCAGTTCATGTACAATAATATGAACTTTTCCACAATAACACAACTAAGAAAAACTAAATTATGTTACGCAACAAAAAAAATCTACAAAATTAAAAATTTGTAACANTCTAATTTTACAAAATACAAGACAATAGTTTTTTTTTTTTTTACAATAACGTCAACTTTCAAATGATTTTAGTAAAAATAAGATCCACAAAATGAATATTTACAAAACGACGAGTAGTAACACACAATCAACAATTGAATTACGGCACTCAACACCAATTGTGAATATTAAGACATCGAAATTTTAAACTCCATTTTTCAGTTCATGTACAATAATACGAACTTTTCCACAATAACACAACTAAGGAAAACTAAATTATGTTACGCAACAAAAAAAATCTACAAAATTAAAAATTTGTAACACTTTAATTTAGTACTAATCTATAAGTTCTCTTGAATCTTGGTTACAAGGTTAATGTCCACTTTAATATAAATTAAATCCCTAATAGTTATTATTTTTTTACCACGTTACTATTTTTTTGTAAGCATGTTACGATTTTTTTAGTGATTATGTCACTGTCTTTGTTGAGTATGTTACTATTGTTATTTTTTAAATATTAACATTCAATATTAATGTTTTATCNAATTAAAAATTTGTAACACTTTAATTTAGTACTAATCTATAAGTTCTCTTGAATCTTGGTTACAAGGTTAATGTCCACTTTAATATAAATTAAATCCCTAATAGTTATTATTTTTTTACCACGTTACTATTTTTTTGTAAGCATGTTACTATTTTTTTAGTGATTATGTCACTGTCTTTGTTGAGTATGTTACTATTGTTATTTTTNTATTGGTCTATTAAATCAAAACCAGATCAAATTTTTTTTTTAACAACAATAATGCATAATATAGGGAGATTGAACAATTTCAACAGAGTTTAGTAACACGAATGTTACTATATGATTGAAGTTATAATTAGAGTCGTGTTACCAATATAGTCGTGTTACTATACTAACACTAATGTTACTATAGTGAATTTTAACACACAATTACAAACCCTTGAGACGTATATTATATAGCATACAATTTAATATTTATAGCAACATTAAAACTTTGTATTCAATAACACATCTAATTTTACAAAATACAAGACAATAGTTTTTTTTTTTTTTACAATAACGTCAACTTTCAAATGATTTTAGTAAAAATAAGATCCACAAAATGAATATTTACAAAACGACGAGTAGTAACACACAATCAACAATTGAATTACGGCACTCAACACCAATTGTGAATATTAAGACATCGAAATTTTAAACTCCATTTTTCAGTTCATGTACAATAATACGAACTTTTCCACAATAACACAACTAAGGAAAACTAAATTATGTTACGCAACAAAAAAAATCTACAAAATTAAAAATTTGTAACACTTTAATTTAGTACTAATCTATAAGTTCTCTNACTCACAATTAAATTAATGACAATCAGGGGCAGAGCTACTGTTGGTCTAGGTGGAGCACCTGCCCACACTGAATTTTTTGTATTAACTATGTATGTTTTGTTCTTACTCTCTAAGTGTCCCAAAGTTTTGCCCACCCAAACACAAACCATGCTAAGTTCACTCAAAATAATCCATTAACTCTTAGATTTTTTAAAATTACGGTTCGATCAAAAATTGATTATGATTAAAAATTATAATTTGGCATTTTTGTAATTTAATTTGCTTGAATTATTTGGTTCGTTTTGTACTTATATTTACTTCTTACTATAATTTCTCTTTTAATATATTAATGATAAAATTATAAGTATAACTTATATTTGTACTTCTATTTACTTCATTCTATAATTGCTTTCTACTCATTCTTTGTATTAATTATTTGAAACAACCATGGAGAAATAATTTAAAAGAAAACCTAAGAGTTATTACCATTTGAAAAAAAAGGTGTTACTAAATTTTAAGGTGTTATATATGATTTAAAAAAGTTATATATATCATTTTTTTAATCAATAAGAAATTAAAATTTAAAACTTCTAATTAGTGTTTATCCTCTTGTAAAATTTTGGTTTCGTCCTTGATGACAATGATTAATTAAGTNCATGTAATTTGATCTCTATTTTTGATTTAGTTTTTGTATCAGTGTAACATTAGTTATATAACACACACACACACTCTCTCTCCCTCTCATACTAGCAACATAGTTCATGTTTTTTGATTGAGAAATATAATTTATATTTAAAATTTTAACATAATTTGTTGATTTGATCAATCACAACTATTGAATAAATAATCAATTTCAATAAATACTGAAATTCACAATTAAATTAATAACAATCAGGGGCGGAGCTACTGTTGGTCTAGGTGGAGCACCTGCCCACATTGAATTTTTTGTATTAACTATGTATGTTTTGTTTTTACTCTTTAAGTGTCCCAAGTTTTGCCCACCCAAACACAAACCATGCTAAGTCCACTCAAAATAATCCACTAACTCTTAGATTTTTTAAAATTACTGTTCGATCAAAAATTGATTATGATTAAAAATTATAATTTGACATTTTTGTATTTTAATTTGCTTGAATTATTTGGTTCATTTTGTACTTATATTTGCTTCTTACTATAATTTCTCTTTTAATATATTAATGATAAAATTATAAGTATAACTTATATTTGTACTTCTATTTACTTCATTCTATAATTGCTTTCTACTCATTCTTTGTATTAATTATTTGAAACAACCATGGAGAAATAATTTAAAAGAAAACCTAAGAGTTATTACCATTTGAAAAAAAAGGTGTTACTAAATTTTAAGGTGTTATATATGATTTAAAAAAGTTATATATATCATTTTTTTAATCAATAAGAAATTAAAATTTAAAACTTCTAATTAGTGTTTATCCTCTTGTAAAATTTTGGTTTCGTCCTTGATGACAATGATTAATTAAGTTAAAAACTTAAATTAATATTTTACTATTTTAGGTCTAAATAACATTGCTCTTTTTGACCAATTTGAATTTGAATTTGAATTTAGAATTTAAGATCATGTTTAGTTAATACCACATCAAAACCGATTTAAAATCACACTCTAAATTTTAAAATCAACATGAAATTTTTTTATGCTATTTTAGTCCATATTTGCCACCTTTATTAAATAATAAAANTCAAAAATTTAAATTAATATTTTATTATTTTAGGTCTAAATAGCATTGCTCTTTTTGACCAATTAGATGCCGAATTTGAATTTGAATTTGAATTTAGAATTTAGAATTTAAGATCACGTTTAGTTAATACCACATCAAAAAACATATCAAAACCGATTTAAAATCGCACTCTAAATTTTAAAATCAACCTGAAATTTTTTTATGCTATTTTAGTCCATATTTGCCACCTTTATTAAATAATAAAAATTCAGTCAAAAGGGCATGAGACGTGTCCACGTGTTCACTAAAAAGCATAAGTACACGCTTACATGTGATACAGTGAGTCCAGCTAGCTTTCCCCTGACAAGCATTTTCATTTCATCACCTCCCTCGCCCTCGCTCTCTCTCTCTCGCTCTCTCTGTGACTGATAAAGCATATACGCAGACACATACATACACATATACATGAAAATTCCGAAATTCTTTCTCTCTGTAGACTTCGTTTTCTCTCTCTAACCTTCCCACAAATGAAGGGAACTTCCACTTTTAAATCCATTAGATGACGACGCTTTCAACTGTTGTCATTGCCACCATAACAATCCTAGTGGTAATCGTCTCTCCTCCTTCAGCCCATGGCCTAGGTGGCTCCGCTACCACAGTCGCCGTTAGCTACGGCTCAGCCATCACCATTTGTAGCATAGTCGCCGGACAACAAACCCAGAGAATTCAATGCTTTCGAAACGGTCGAGTCACCACCATTTACCCAGATATTTCCTTCGACTTCATCGCCGGTGGCTATGAAACTTTCTGCGGCATAAGGTCCGGTGGGTTCAGCCTTCTTTGCTGGAACTCCTCCTTTCAACCCAAAAGGTTATATTATAGCGATTTTGTGCTACTTCAAGACCTATCTGTTGGGGATTTTCAAATTTGCGCGGTAACAAATGGTACACGAAATGCAAGATGCTGGAGAGGCGACGCCGTTTCGGTTCAGTTGCCAATAGGGTCTTCAAATATTCGATCTTTGTCATCTGGGTTGGGGTTTTCTTGCGGAGTTTTGATTAATTCTAGTAGAGTTATCTGTTGGGGTAGTAACCCATTTGCTTCTGTTGTTCAGAACCAGTTCGGTAATATGCCGATGAGGAATATTGCTGTTGGTGGGAGTCATGCTTGTGGATTGAACACAACTGGGTTTTTGATTTGTAGAGGAAGAAATGATAATGGTCAGTTGAATGTTCCTTCAAATTTGCCATATGAGTACTCTGGATTGACACTTGGAGCCAATCACAGTTGTGCAATTCGAAGATTGAACAATACAGTGATTTGTTGGGGTGGAAATGGAAGTTTTTCAAGAAATTTTACAGAAGGGGTTTCATTTGAATCTGTTGTTTCTGGGTTGGATTTTAGTTGTGGATTGACTACAAGTAATTTTTCTATAGTTTGTTGGGGGCCAGGTTGGTCTAATGATTCGTCTTCTTCAGGGATTGAGCTTCCGTTGCCAATGACTCTTCCAGGGCCTTGTGTTCAGGATACATGTGATTGTGGTATATTTCCTGAGTCTCAGATTCTCTGTTCTGGTAATGGTAATATATGTAGACCATGTTATTTTACACTTCCAATCCCACCAACTTCACCACCACCACCACCAACGCAAACATTTAGTCCCCCACCGGCTCGATCTAAACGGCTAAGAACGGTTTTATTGGCTTTTGCCATTGTTGGATCGGTTGGGGCTCTTTCAGGCATTTGTACTATAATTTACTGCTTGTGGACTGGTATTTGTTGTGAGCACAAGAAAATTTATAATTCAGTTCAACCTACTATTACTAGTTCTAATGCTGTTCAAGCGTCTAATAGTAGTCCACCTTCAAGATCATCCACTCTTAGACGCCAGGGCTCGAGGTTGATGAGGCGCCAGAGGAGTGGAACATCATCTAAACACACGGATATAGCTGAAGAATTTATGTTTTCGGACCTTGCTGCTGCCACCAATGATTTCTCCATGGAGAACAAGATTGGGGCTGGTAGCTTTGGTGTTGTCTATAAAGGAAAATTATGTGATGGGCGTGAGGTTGCGATAAAAAGGGGTGAGACAAGTTCTAAGACAAAGAAGTTTCAAGAGAAAGAGAGTGCATTTGAATCAGAATTGGCATTCTTGTCTAGGCTTCACCACAAACACTTGGTCAGGCTTGTTGGTTATTGTGAAGAGAGGGATGAGAGGCTCTTGGTCTATGAGTATATGAAGAATGGAGCATTGTTTGATCATTTACATGACAAGAATAATATGGAAAAGAGTAGCAGTTTAGTGAATTCCTGGAAAATGAGGATTAAAATTTCACTAGACGCTGCTCGTGGCATTGAATATCTCCACAATTATGCAGTGCCACCTATAATTCATCGAGATATTAAGTCCTCAAATATATTGCTTGACGCGAATTGGACTGCTAGAGTGTCTGATTTTGGATTGTCATTGATGGGACCGGAGTCTGGAGTTGACTATAGGCTGATGAAGGCAGTTGGGACAGTTGGGTACATTGATCCAGAGTCCTATGGACTCAATGTCTTAACAGCCAAGAGTGATGTCTATGGTTTTGGAGTAGTATTGCTTGAGATTTTGACAGGAAGGAGAGCAATATTCAAGAATGATGAAAATGGGGGTGCACCAATGACCTTGGTCGACTATGCAGTACCAGAAATTGTGGCTGGTGATTTGGCAAAGATTCTGGATCCGAGGGTTGGGCCGCCGGGGATAAATGAAGCAGAGGCGGTCGAGTTGGTGGCATACACTGCAATGCATTGTGTGAATCTGGAGGGGAAAGAGAGACCAACCATGGCTGACATTGTTGCTAATTTGGAGCGGGCATTGGTTCTATGTGATGATAGCCATGGCAGCATATCTAGTGGTCCAATCTCCATAATATCAGATTGAAATTCAACCACCCAAAACAAGGAAAAAACTGGTTTTTGTTTAAATTTTCTAATTTTTATTGGATTTATGTGGCATTCTTTTTTGGAGTGTGAAGAATAGGGTGTTTGATCTAACATAAGCTGTAGTACTGTAGGATTTAGTGAAGACTGACAGCCACAAAAAGGATTGAATGATTCATTTTGTTTTTTCAATGAAAGGGGCTAATTTGTTCTTTGTGCTACATACCTATACACTTTATTTTAAATGCTTGTTTGTTTTGATTCTGTTAACATAATCTTTCTTCATATGTTATGTGCTTAGTGTATGGATTGACACATATGCAAATTTGGAATTTTGTAGAGAAGGCTTAGCCATATACAAATAATGTGGGGTGCCTATTTTGATTTGATGTGTGGCATATTTGAACTACATCAAGCCTTTCTTTTTTGTGTTGGGAATCATATTAATAACACGTCCTCTAGATTCGTGGCTACGGTGTGATCTCAATTACTCGTTTTTTGAACTTATAGTTACAATGTAAATTCAGAAGATTCAAAGGTTGTAGACATGAGTGTGATAAGATATGTTGTTTGGCTGCTATTTTGTACTTGACAAGAGTGAACCCACAAAGAGGCCAGTTTTTCTCCTGCTGTGCATCCAAAAAAATGGCCTTAAATGTCAGTGTAGGTCTATGTATTCATCTCTTCATAAGATTCATCAAATCAAAACGGTGCCTCCAACTTTAATGACATTAATGAATTATAAATTTTTAAAAACAAATTCAATGAATTTTGCTTTTAAATCTAGCAAAATTAATGTGGGAGTGGGGGGTGGGGGTGCTTAGAAGGTGGATTTCATGGGTGTCCTGCGACCCACCTCGTTTCTCTCTGTTCCTATTTATTATGTTATCAAGCACATGCACATGAATTTTAGCAAAGTGTTTTGTCAAGGTAAAGTGTAAACATTCTCATTATCATTGTCTGTGCTCCCTGGACATGAACTGATGTTCTTTGCAATTGATTATGAAAAGCTTAGAGGCGACTGATTTGTTTTTGGGACCCGACTACGGTACATTTCACACGCACTTTTTGATATGATACTAAAAATCTTTGACGATAAAAAATTGAAAAAAATATTGCAGAAAGATACAGAAATAGACACGTATAAAACAAAAGTAGAGCAACCGGTTTGATTAATTATTTACTTACAATGTATAACAATGATGGATGAAAAATTGTACCACAATGGATGTATGATCCTTGTTTTAGCGATAATTACAATATGTCCAATCAACCTATATATCCCTCGATGAAAACCAGCTCCTGTCCCTTAGGAATCCTGTGCTTAGCTGTCGTTATCTCCTTGATTACCAAAAATCACCAATGTACGGTAGTTTTTAAATAAAATTATGAAAGTATAATATTTTTTGAACTTATTTATTAAATTATTATATATTTTTAATAAAAACAGAATCGACAATTTCACTTTTAAATTCAAACATGTTCGATGCCGGGGAAATAGTCAAAGAGGACATTGAAACGGAGGATTTTCAGCTGGACCAATCGATTGAGATGTCATTGTCAGTTGGGCAACGACTAGAGAGAGAGAGAGACAGAGAGAGAGAGGTGTGAATCCGGACGAAGGCATTTAAATGAAACAATTGATTTGACTTAAAGAATAAAAAAGGTATTTTGAGCCTTTTTTTTTTTTTGGGNCTAGATTCGTGGCTACGGTGTGATCTCAATTACTCGTTTTTTGAACTTATAGTTACAATGTAAATTCAGAAGATTCAAAGGTTGTAGACATGAGTGTGATAAGATATGTTGTTTGGCTGCTATTTTGTACTTGACAAGAGTGAACCCACAAAGAGGCCAGTTTTTCTCCTGCTGTGCATCCAAAAAAATGGCCTTAAATGTCAGTGTAGGTCTATGTATTCATCTCTTCATAAGATTCATCAAATCAAAACGGTGCCTCCAACTTTAATGACATTAATGAATTATAAATTTTTAAAAACAAATTCAATGAATTTTGCTTTTAAATCTAGCAAAATTAATGTGGGAGTGGGGGGTGGGGGTGCTTAGAAGGTGGATTTCATGGGTGTCCTGCGACCCACCTCGTTTCTCTCTGTTCCTATTTATTATGTTATCAAGCACATGCACATGAATTTTAGCAAAGTGTTTTGTCAAGGTAAAGTGTAAACATTCTCATTATCATTGTCTGTGCTCCCTGGACATGAACTGATGTTCTTTGCAATTGATTATGAAAAGCTTAGAGGCGACTGATTTGTTTTTGGGACCCGACTACGGTACATTTCACACGCACTTTTTGATATGATACTAAAAATCTTTGACGATAAAAAATTGAAAAAAATATTGCAGAAAGATACAGAAATAGACACGTATAAAACAAAAGTAGAGCAACCGGTTTGATTAATTATTTACTTACAATGTATAACAATGATGGATGAAAAATTGTACCACAATGGATGTATGATCCTTGTTTTAGCGATAATTACAATATGTCCAATCAACCTATATATCCCTCGATGAAAACCAGCTCCTGTCCCTTAGGAATCCTGTGCTTAGCTGTCGTTATCTCCTTGATTACCAAAAATCACCAATGTACGGTAGTTTTTAAATAAAATTATGAAAGTATAATATTTTTTGAACTTATTTATTAAATTATTATATATTTTTAATAAAAACAGAATCGACAATTTCACTTTTAAATTCAAACATGTTCGATGCCGGGGAAATAGTCAAAGAGGACATTGAAACGGAGGATTTTCAGCTGGACCAATCGATTGAGATGTCATTGTCAGTTGGGCAACGACTAGAGAGAGAGAGAGACAGAGAGAGAGAGGTGTGAATCCGGACGAAGGCATTTAAATGAAACAATTGATTTGACTTAAAGAATAAAAAAGGTATTTTGAGCCTTTTTTTTTTTTTGGGACCAAGCCTAAACTTCTCCATCTAACCCCATGTAATCATAAAAAAAGCTATATCAAATTTACGGCTCTGATACCACTAAATAAGGCATCATCTAAAACATCAAAACAATAGGAAAAAAAAATCAAAAAAAGGGTCAAAGTCCATGCAATAATCTATTATGTAAGGAAATGTAATACAACATGCTGGGAAAAAAAAATCCCTAATTTCTTCTTCTTCCACTGTGTTTGTTACCATTCTTCAATCTTTTTGCTTTCCTTTGTCGTTCCCTTTCAACAATTCTTGTAAACCACTTAGGTTTCCTAGTCAAGAACATGAGATACCCCATAATTATTCCAAACACTATTCCACAACTATATCCTGTCAACACAGATTTCCAATTAAATCCACTCAAAAAAATTGAATTATCTTCTTGTTTCAAACCCGATGGAGGTGATTGTGATGCTCTGTCCTCTCTACAGTTTTCCAACAATGGAAATCCACATAATGCCAAGTTACCATTGTACGAATCATTTTGAAATGTATTAAACTGTCTGTCGCGAGGGATGTGTCCCACAGGCTGATTTTGCGAAAGATTTAAGACTGAAAAAAATGTTAAATCTGTAAGTTGTGCAGGAATTTCTCCCTCAAGTTGGTTGGAAGACAAGTCTAACGATTCAAGTGCCGATAAATTTCCCAACAATGATGGTATATGACCTACGAGGCTATTATGGGATAAGTTAAGCATTCGAAGAGAATCAAGGTTCCCAATGGTTTTTGGAATCTCACCCTCAAATTTGTTACTCGACAGATCAATGGTTGTGAAAACAGTTAGAATTCTCACAAGTTCAAGCTCTTGTCCTTTCATCACCGTAGTCATAGAATCTTGACAATAGAGGTTCCCCAAATACTTCGGTTTGTCTCTACTTTCATGCACATTCTTCATAGCTTTGAAATTTTTGAAGTAGTTTGCTGACAAAAGACCACTAAAATCATTGTTGGAGACGTCGAATATTCGCAGCTTAGGGAAAGGATTTTTAATTTTGATAGAGCCGCGTACGGGACCATAGAATCTATTAGACTTCAAGACAAGAACTTGGAGCTCTGGAAGAGTTCCCAGTGATTGGGGGAATGTATCAGTTATCTTGTTGCTTCCAAGATCAAGAAGTTCCAAGTGTTTGCAATCAACTAAAGTTCGTGGCACTATACCTTCTATTTGATTGCTATACAAATTGAGACTCCTCAAACCGTTGCACTTCAAAAATGTCGGAATGGTCCCATGAAAGCGATTCAGATGCAAATCTAACACTGACAATTGATTGCTGAGGTTTCCCAAACATTGCGGAATTGCACCACTCAAGTTGTTACGAGACAAATCAAGAATGTCAAGGGAAGTCAAATTACAGACCGATGAAGGGATCTTTCCAGTTAGTTTGTTGCGCGAAATTAAAAAGACAGAAGTGGTGAGTGGTGGCACAGGCAATGGTCCTTGAAGCAAGTTGGACCTAAGATCAAGATAAGCTAAATACTCAAAAGAAAGTTGGTTTATACGAGTTAGAAAATTGTGAGAAAGATTTAGATAAGTTAATGAACCCCTCCAATTGGACAACCACAATGACCCAAGTGAAGGTGGCAAGGTAGTGTTACCTTTGTTGTTGGTACTCAATGATAGACTATTGCGAGAAAGATCAAGCTGCAAAAGCTTAGTAAGGTTTGAAAACATGCCTATATCTAGATCACCACTGAAATTGCTGGATGAAAGATATAGAGTAGTCAAGTTCACAAGTTTTGAGATTGAATGTGGAATGGGGCCATAAAACTCATTGCTACTCAAATCAATAAACTTCAGTGACTTACCTTGGAACTCATCAACACGACCGGTGAGGTGATTAGAACCGAGGTCTAAGTACTCCAATGATGGAAGAGTAAACAACCAAGATGGTATTGTGCCTGAAAATTCAGAACCAGAGAGATTGAGGTGTGTCAAACTCGAAAACAATCCAAATTCATGAGAAATCTGGAAGAGAGAAATTATTATAGGCATGGTTGAGACTCTGGAGGTGAGAAAGTTGGAAGAGACTGGTATTGGAATGAATGGTTCCATGAAGCTGGCTACAACTGAGGTCTAAGCCAATCACTTCTCTAGTCAACTCATTGCATGTAACTCCATCCCATGTGCAGCAATCTGAACAACTATTCCAAGACCTGGTCTTAGGATAAGGAGTTTGGCGGCCTCTGGAATCACATCACGTAGATGCAGAACTATCTATGGCGAACATTTCCTTAAACTG